GCACACTTAGACATTTTGATGTCATATAGGAAATTGGAATAAATGATTAAGCTATTCAAGCAGTTCTACAATGTAAATAAACATTTATTGACAAATACTCTAAATTATCATCTTTTGAATATATGATGATAAGAGGAGAGATCATGAAATTATTGGGAGGTAAGTTTACTAGAGTATAAATGTTTTTAAATGATAAATCCCAAAATCAAGATGGAACTTTTTAATAAAGATCTTATGGTTTATCAGGATATGGTGTTGGATAACCAGGTTTAATTAGAATGCTTAAAATCCCAGAAAAATACAATGTTGTTCTAGCTGTTTCATCTTAATTTAAAGAAAATAATAGTACTAATCCATTTTAAGGAAAATGTAATCTTGGTGACAATATATTCTAAAATAAAGAATCCTAATAATAGAACAAATAATAATCTATATTATCAACTCAAAATTCCTATAAAACAGATTCACTTGATTCTCAATCGTCCAAATTTTAAACTTAATCATTAAATCATCTAGCTTAATTGATTCAAGCAAAACCTATAGATTAATAAGAAGATATTAATCTTTTCTATAAACCAACTGCTATAAAATAAAATATTGATAATTAATAATAGTCATAACTCATAAATCAAAATCAACCCTAATAATAAAGTTAAAAATTAAAACAAAATATTATTTAATCATTTGATGATACTAATAATAATCTGTAATCCCATTTATTATAAAATGATTAAGAAGAAGAAGAAGAAGAAGATGAAATCGATCTACTTACATTGATGGACAAAGCAGCTTAAAAATGATAAATAAGATAATATTTTAAAACAATTTTAATATATATTAATTAAAATTATAACAAAATTTATAATATGAATTTTAATTTCTTTAAATCAAACTTCAACTATTTTTATTTTTTTTCCATGTTCCCAATCTCCTTCTTCCTACCTTCCTGTTTTATCATAAAATACTCCTTTCCCATGAGGATGACCATTATACCATTCCCCTTTGAACACTCTTCCATCAGGCCAATAAAATTCTCCATATCCTTCTTTCAAATCATCCTTATAATTTCCAATATATTTCTTTCCATCAGGCCAAATAAAAGTTCCTATTCCATGCATCTTGTTTTATACCCAATCTCCTTCATAAACTCTTCCATCAGACCAAATTTACTTTCCTTTACCATTTATTTAATTATTTATAAACATTCCTTCAAATATAGATCCATCAGTCCATTTATATTTGCCAAAACCTTCCTTAATTCCATTTATGTAATTTCCTTAAAACATACTTTAATCTGGCCATTTTTCTATTCCTTATCCATTTTCCAAATCCTTTTTAAATTCCCCTTCAAAAATGACTCCATTTTCATAATACATAGTTCCTAAACCTTCTTTTTCATTCTCTTTCCAAAATCCAATCTTATTATAAATGCATAAATACATATGTATTCCCTTCAGGTGTAATTAATCTTCCAAAACCATCTGCCATATCATCTTTCCAACTCCCCTCATACAAAGTCCCATCTGGAAATAATTATTAGCCTCTGCCACATCTTTTTTTATTTAACCATTATCCTTAATATATAATTCCATTATTAAATTCCTATTTAACTAACAAAGACAAAAGTTACAATAGGAGGGAGATATTAAGCTCCTGAAAGTTAATTGCACTAATCAAAATTAAAAGGACCAAAGTTATCTAATGATTTCTTTACAAAAGGATTTTTTGATTCAATTTTTTTATTAGTTTTTTTAGCAATATCAGCAGATGGGTATAATTCCTATTCTAATTCAAGAACCCTTCTTTGTTATTAAAATTACTTATTTTCTAATTTATTATCCCCTAAAAACTGACTAAATTTTAATAGCACTGTGTTGTCTCTTAAACTCAAATTCATCCTCTCTTGGAATTATTGGAGTTAACTCTAAAGGTGCTATTGGCTTATCTATAGTAGTATCTCTAACACAACATGTATTTCCCATTCAAAATTATATAATGTAATATATTTCTTTATAAATTAAAAAGATTAGATAATTGAAACTAAAAGAAGTTAGTATAGATTTTAAAAATTACCATAACTTTAAATCATAAATAATATCATATAATTAATCAAATAGTTAATTAAAAATCATTTTTTTATTGAAAAGATGATAAAAGTTATTTAAAAGTTCATATTGATTAATATAGAGTTTATTTTATTAGGTAATATGGTTGAAAAAATTTAATCTAGAAGATTTCAATATCTAAAATTCTAATAAGTAATAATAATCTCTTATTTCATAAATAATTCAATAATTATTTTTAATTATTTTTAAATAGTAATACAAAGTTGATTTTAAATTATAATATTTAATATTTTATTTAAACTTGAAAATATATTTCATTATTCTTTATATTGATAAATCTAAAATTCTAATGACTAACCATTCCAAATAGCCAATAATTATCCATCATCACTTGCATGCCCATATAAATAACCAATTGTATCAGAACCAAAGTCAATAGATTATTCAATTATAAATTCGAAAGATTAATCTTAGTTCTAATAATACCTAATAAAATTCAAATAAGATCCATTTTTGCTAATTAGAAGGGATTTTTAAAGAATAAATTGCTAAGGGAAGAGAAATCTGCAATATGAATTACCCCCTTTAACTGCAATTTCTTAGGACTTAGTAAACTCTCCATTTTCTTTTTTTTTAAATATTTCTAAATATTCACTAGCTTTAGGTTAAAATGTAAATATTTCTTCATTAATAAAGCATACTCGATATCCTAATTAGGTAGTTTTAAGCTTTTGAATTACTTGCCATGTGTTTTATTTTTGTTGTTCTATTACAAATATTGTTGAATCCCCATTACAAGAAATCAATTATTTTTAGGATTCACTTATGCTTAAACTGTAAACATGACTATTAAGTTCTTGAATTGTTTAATAGCATATCCATTCTTGATTTTATTAAGTCCAAAATTTAATACTTTTATCTAAACCACTAGAAATGATGAGATCTTCTTCTTTATTTATAATCAATGCCCAAATTGATGATGTATGTCCTAATAACTTTTATTAACATTTCCATTCTTTATTATTCATTTATTTCCATAATATTATGGTAGAATCAGCATCACTTGAAATAAATTGTATTGGTGATTTCTTAAAAAAATTTAATGTATTAACATAACCAGTGTGTTCATTTAAGACTTGAATCTCTTCTAATATTCCATTGTTAACTTCAAATACTCTAATTGAATATGAACATCCAGCTATTAGTATCGAACAATCTATGTTAAAAGCTAAAGCATAAGACCACTAATCTTGTTTTATTGGATTACCCTTTGTTATTAATTCATAATTAAATGGTTTAAAGAAAGCTTATATAGTTTACATTTTATGAAATTGAATAAATTCTCACAATAAAAACTTTTTTGAAAATGGATTTATATTTTTGTTGATAGATGTTGTTATTCATAAAATGGGAAATTTTAAAGTTTAATTAATTTTATAAAATAATTGTCAATTTTGACGGAGTTTATATTAATAATGATTGTAAAGGAGAAATTAATAACAATTAAACTAAGATTTTCAAATGAATTACATATTCAATATTGAATATTTGAAATCTGGCATGTCATTTTAACAGATATAATTTTGTTGTGTATTTTCTATCAAATATGTAATTTTATTTTCTTTGAAAATATCAATTATATCATGAAAATATAAATAAATATTTTCGTATTTATGAACATGAATATTGAGAATGAAATTGATTTAGAAGAGGTTTATGATAATAAATGTTATTATAAATTCCATGATTAGCATAGAGTCTAAAAAGATAAATGGTGCAAAGCATTTACATTTAATAAGGATGACACAACATTGGTAATGGGTTATAATCAAATTATAAGAGTATATTAAATAAACAAGGGAGAACTTAAATATGTATAGAGTATTTTAGGACACAATTTTGATGTTAATTGTTTACAATAGTTAAATAATTCAAATCAAATAATCTCAGGTGGGCATGATAGAAAATTTTTATTTTGGCCAATCAATCTTATAAGCAAATCAAAATTCATAATAAAATTAGTTGTTCATCATCTACCTATTACATGTTTAATTAAAAATTCCTAAGAAAATCTTTTAATATCAGGCAGTATGGATTAAACAATTAAATTTTTGGAATTAAATCTTTAGAATTAAGTCTGGAAATGTTCATAAGTATTAAAGGAGCATAATGATACAATATTTGCATTGAGTTTGAGTTAAAATGAGAATCAATTGATCTCTTGTGGATATGATAATCTAATTTTAGTTTTATAAAAGAGTTCATCATAATGGATAGTCAAATAAAAGATTTTCGCAAGCGTTCATGGTTACCGATTATGTTTCATTACAGATTATTTATTTACTTTCTAACCCTATAATAAAGAAGAAATGTGGATTTATGATAATAGGAATTCATTAAGTCAATTTATAATGACAAAAAGTATTCATGCAAAAAGTGATTGTTAAGATTTTGGAACATTATTCCCACAATAATTCATTCCAAAAAAAGCCATGCTATTAGCTAAACATGGTCATTATGTTCATCTAATAAAATTGCAAGATTCAGAGGATTTTAAAATCTAATAATCAATAAATTATAGGGATTAATGTATATACGGATAATTGAGCAACAATGGAGAATATTTGGTAAGTTGGGATAATAAGTCCAATTTAATCAAAATTAGGAAATATGTTGAATAATGAATCATTTATGCTAATTAAATTGTTTTTTATTATAAACATAAAGTACTATAAATTTACAATATTGTATATTAAAATAATTAATTTAGATTTAATTAGTAATAATGAATAACATAAATATAATACAATAATTAGAATTTATTAATTTACAAATTTAATAAAATCTATATTATATTTATTAATTCATATTAATTTGATTGATATAATTTATATATAATGATTTTTATTTTTTAAATCATGAAATAATAATAATTCATAACAGAGGCTCATTCTTAGACTTTTTCTTTTTACAACACCAAAATCCAACTCCTAAAACTATTAATCCTCCTACTATTCCTAAAATAACCCATAATATTGTATGACCATTATTATCAGATTAACCTGGATCATCAGATGCTGTAATGTCAAGATATAAATTTCTTATTACATAATCATTTTTCAATGAGATAGTAACTTTGGCTTCACTAATATTCCCATCAATCAATAATTTTGGAGATTGATTAACTTTGTATAATCTTAATTAACCATATTATTTCAAATTACTAATTAAATATAACTAAAATTATTTTCTAAATAATTACCTCATTTGCAAAGGTGTACAATTCTGTTTAAAAATTTAAATAATAAGCGTATGAAACATCTTGTATTGCTGCATAAAAGTAAACAGCAGAATTTGTAGATTCTTTTTCTGGAATTTCATATATAGCTTAAGTATAAGATTTATGGCCAGGATTATTAAATTGATACACAATTGAAACATATTTTTATTTTATTATTACTTTTGGTAAAACTAAACTGTCAACTTTACTTTCTCCATAACCCTATAAGATATATATTATCTTTTAAGATGATAGAGTACATGAGTCAGATTTACAATTAAATTCCATTCTTATTCCATAGTGAGGACCAACTGTAGCAAATATTATATAATCAATTTAAAAGATAGCACCTTAATTCTGTAAATTAATAACCTTTATTAAATTCAATTCAGCTGAAGGTAAAAGATAAAACTCATTATTTAATAAATCATATAGATTGTAATTTATTTTATTAATTCTAACCAATTTTTCATCTTTAATTATGTATTCCAATATAATAAAATTTTAGTTTAAATCTGTGCAATAAATATGATAAAGATTTGTTTATATTTTTTTTATAGCTAATCCTTACTAGAAATATTCAAAATCTTCAAATGTAATCAAACCATAATTCTTTGCATGTAATATATCTAAAATTTAGTTTGAATAAACTAAAATACTCTACTTTAATACAATATATATATTATCTTCATCCATTTATCCAAAAATAATATCATCATCAATTTATAACCAATTATCCCCTACCTTACATTCAGCTTCTACACATTAAATTCCATTTATGAACTATTGTTTATCTTATGTGCACATAATTAAAATTTTAGATTAAAATGAAGCTAATATATTTTTGCAATCATATCCTTATGTGATGCTTTTTTGAGCAACAACTTAATTGGATTTTTTACTTACAATTAAAAAACTATCACTTTTTAAAACAAAAACATGATTATTATCCAAATCAGTTATACTAATTGTGTTATTTTAATAGTACTCTATTAATTATTCAATAGGATCAATAATTTCAATTTTTTAACCTTTAATATCAGGAGACTCTAATTCAAATTTACTAACCTCACCAAAATACCAAGCTCTTCCCATATTTTAAATATTATTGTTTTACACTTTTGTTGAAAGATTAGTAGTAATATTTATTTTATCTGGATACGCTTTTAATTCTATATAAGTATTTGCAAGTCTAAAGTTTTGATTAACTTATAATTCTTATCCATTTTTATATATAATTTAATATTTAACATTACTTATAAATGTTTCATCTTTGAAATTCACATAATATACCAAATTTGGTTTTCTTTGAATCCAATATATTTAAATGACATCCTAATTGAATTAGAATACTCTGTCTTGATCAACTGTAATATATTAATTTGTTTCATTTAATACTTAAACAGTATATAATGAATTATGATCTGTTTATTCAATCATGTAGGTTAATAGATATTATTTATTTTCTAATTAGGCTTTAAAGTGCAATAGATTTTTGGATGATACCCAATAGATGGAATTCAAATCTTAAATTTTGTAATCATAAAATGTAGGTGTTTTCTCAAAATAAATATTTGTAATTTCCTTCATATTGAAGACATCAAAACTTATAATTCCATTTTCATATTATTAAAGAATAGCGAATCTTTCAACGAATGTAATTATTCTAATATCTTTTGATTCATTAATTTTCATAACATAATCTAAAGTAAAATAATTAAGATTCAAAGTCAATATAAAAACTTCATTTTATTGTTGACCATTAATTAGAAATAGGATTTCCTTATAATTGTTACAAAATAGTCTTTAAGGATTCCAATCAGATATACCAAATTTCTTCATTTAATCCAAAGTTATTGAATATAAAAAGATAACATTTTTAAACTCGTAAACTCCAATTATTTTCTTTGTTTTAGAATATGCTATAAAATATTTATAGTTAGTATAAATATTATCAATCTCGTCAATTGGATCTTGATCAGTTAGTGTGATAGTTTTATTAAAATATTCCCCTTAGAAGAATTAATAATAAAATAAGTTTTTCTTGTCCAATAAAGTTATAAATTTGAGAGCTTAATCTTCATATTATATAGCTGTGTTTTCAGAGGTTATTTTAAATGTTAATAATGTTTCATAACTTTAAGTACAAGCTTAAGCGATGTATATGTAACACCTATAAATCTTTAATAACTTTTCTTGATTCTAAGTTATAATGAGGTAGTTATTATCATTAGAATTTATCATTGAAATAGTTTATGTAAATATTAGGTTTTTCAAACTTAAATTTTCATTTTCATATACTGTTTTCAAGTCTCCAGTCATTCCTATATAACTTACATTACCACTTTATTCTAGATTACTATTATCTACTTTTTAAAAAGATAATGATTATGTGGGACCATCAACTAATTTGTTAATACTATTTGGCAATGTATATTGTAAATAAATAGTATCTGAAAGAAAAGGAGTTTCAATAATATTTCCTTTAGAAATCAAGATAAGTTCTTTTGAATTACGAGCTACTGTCTAATATTCAATTGTCACTTAGCATTAGTTATGATTTAATATTGCTGTTCCTTTTAATTCAGGTTGATTATTTGAATATTAAATTTTATATTCTGATCCACTTAAATAATGTTTTATATTTGTATTACTAAATGCTAAGAAATCATTTTGCGTATAATCAGTTAACAAATAACTGAAATCTCCTGTTGTTTAATATACAGGTTGAAAAACGTCTAAAAGAAATGAAATTATTTTAGTTGACGACACTAAATATAAAAAATTTTTAGTAATATGTATTCTTGATTATGACAAATCTTCAATTGAGTTATATTCTGTAAGAAATATTCCATAAATAATTTTAAAAGGTTGTAATACTGCCATCCTTTTATATTTAAAGGAATAATCAAATGATATTGAATTACCCAATCTCATTACTAAAAATGAAAATTCCCAACTGTCTTTATCAATAAGATACTTCATTTCAAATAGATTACCTATTGAATCCAAAATAAGGATTTGATCTTATGGTCCTACTTTTACTTCAACTATTTCAAAAGAGTATTCACGAAATGTTACATAATTTAAAATTAATTCTTGATCAATAATTTTTATCCTTTATATTTGATTGCTTAATAAATCATATGTGAATATTTCAATATATGATGGATTATCGGTTGAGTAAGTTGTAATTCTATAAATATAATTATTTGTGCTAAGTATGTATCTCTTTTAATCTGTTAATAAAGGATAAGTATTTTCTATCTTAATTATTTCTTCTTAATCTTAATTTATTAAATAAAATTGATTATTTAAGTTTCCAGTATCGATTTAATAACAATCTATTAATAGGTGTTTTGCATCCAAAATAACTGATGATTAACATTTTACTTAATTGATATTTCCAATAATTTTATTAGAGTCAAAGTTTGGTAACCTTCCTTGAGTACCAGCTACAAAATGTTCTGTCCAAATCAGAATTATATCATCATCTTTATTTATAGCCAATAATTAATATTTATTAAGCCACTCAAATTCTGAAGAAGTTAATACAGAATACGATATTATCTTATTGACTAATAAAATATCAAAAACATATTTTACAATTAGGAGGCATTTCCATTGTATTTATTAGTTATATTGGATTCAATAAAGATAGTTTATTATTTTCATCTCTTAATGTGACTACATCTTTATATTTAGTTTTGCCGAAGTAATCTCCTAAATCTTAAACTATTTTTTCATTTTCCTTTGCAACAATTTTAGTGTAATCGTAAGGAAATGAGGAACAATGTTTGCATACACTCAATAGAGTAAAACTAGCAAGAATGATTAGAATCATATCTAAATTTGTATTTCAATATAAGAATTAAATAAAATTTGAGAATATATAAACCTACATTAATCTACAACACTATTGTACATAGAGTCATTTAATATTAAATTAAAATAAAAAAAAATGTTGAAATTTTCAAGTATAATTTTATTTATTCTTATTGAAAATATCAGTTAAAAAGCACACTTTCTTTGTATATTTATATTTCTGATTCTTAATAAAACATGTGTCAATACACCACATTCTTGATCAAGATGAATATATTTTTTCTTTATGATCTTACTTTTTGAAGAAATATGTTTGAATTCATATTTATTAGAATAGGATTACAGGAATTTCATTAAAGAACCAATTTATAATTTGAGAAACTAATTAACCAAATGCAATTCTATTTTGTATTGAAAGAAATTTTATTTTGAGATTATGCTCAGATTTAAACATTAATTAAAATTTTATTGAGAATTAATAGTTTTTAAACATATATATTTATTTAGTTATTTCTCATATATTATTTTATTCTCCAAATATATATTTTAAAATCTCTGCTTTTTGGAAATTCTAAGATTGATTACTTTTTAAAACCAAAATTGATAAATTATTTTGATATTAATGTTTTTGATTAGCTGATTTGAACAATTTTTTAATCTCAACCTGGAATATTATTAATTGTGATTAATTATACTTTTATTTATGCTTGCATTTTAAGTTTTGCTACTCTATAAATTTGATATTAACTTAGAAAATTAAAGAGAGAATTTACCAATCTAAGTTATAAGTTTTTAATTATTAAATCAAAAAACAATTTTGAAATAATAATGAAGCATTTCATAAATCATGATTTGATATTTTTATTAATTTTTTGTTTATGAACTTTGGTCTATGTACTTAGATTAAAACTCAAGGCAAAATTAATTATTAGAAATTAGAAGTGATAATATTATATTTGATCTTTAATTATTATAATTCTTTTGTTTAATGTTCAAATCTATATTTGAAATTTTATCATTTCTTTTATTCTTACGGTACTCAACTACCTTATTATAGAGAAATCAATTGTTAATGCAAATTTATGCCTTACGGCCCTTTATTATATCCAAACTAGCCAAATATTTAAATCGACTTAGATTTGCCAGAGTAGGTTATTCAAAACCAATAAAACATAGGTTATGGTATTTGGACAAAGTATCAACCTTTTGCAGATATTTTAGACTTAAGTATCATAATTTTTTTTATATTTTTAGGAAACAGAGAGTAGTAAATAAATGTAACTATAAATAGATCAATAATATCTGAAGGTGGTTAGTTTATTTATTCAATGAAATAAAAAGAGAATGGTATTTAGATTTTAGTTGTCTCTATCGTAATTGATTACATTGAATAAAGTTTTCAATATAATATTTACTATTCCTTTACATAAACATCAAATGTTATATAATTTAATATAAGCAGTTCACTAATTGAGGGATTATGGATTATGGTTTATGCTTATTATGATTAACTATCTTAAAAAACTACTTTTGGACTCTACAATAGTATGGAACCATTAAAAATATATTTAATACATGATGTGCCTACATTTTAAGGTAAAATTAGACACAATATTGGTGGAATATATGCATATTAAAATCTAAATGGAGTTCTAGTTTAATTAAGTTAGTTTTTTGGAATGATGTCAAATTTGTTTACGTCAGATAATTAGAACATATTATTTGATTTAGATTAATGCGTAGCTTAATTTTTCAATTACGATACTTGCTAAATTGAAGAATATAGAGTAAGTGAGAAAAATTAGAAAATGAATGGATAAGATTTTATAAGGATCACAACTTCCCCACTTAATAAACCAATATATTTAATCTAAGGGTGGATTAAACTTGATTTGCAAAATGTAAATATTTTAGAAACCATTATATTCAGGATAAGTATTAATTATAATTATAATGATGATATATATATTGGTGATAGAGATGTCTTATTAAAATATTTTTAGAGTAGTATTCCTGGAGAAAATGGATTTGAAATTTCAACATATAGTTATACATTTCCAGTTAAAACAAGATATAATACAGAAGATGATGACAAAATTTCAGAATATGGTGATCAATATTCAACTCTGTTTGTTATTTGGCATTACTTTTAATATGAAATTGGAACTTTAAATAATAATGGTTAACCATAGTTTACTCAATATTTTCCTTCTATTAATTAATACAACAAATATGTTTGGAATAAACCAATTAAACACTTTACAGGAGTAACATACTTTCTTTTTATTGGAGGGGATAATTATGCAAAATCATTTTTTTAAGGTTATGTTAGTGATATATTTTTCATTGTATATTGTAATCCTTTTGCATCTTCAATAGTTATGAATTGTGATTATTCATGTTTAGAGTGTGATGGGCCTACATCAATAAATTGTTTAAGTTGCCATGAAAATAGTCATAGATTATTTTCGAGAACTGGAAAGACTTGTAATTGTGAAGAAGGGTATATCGATATTAATGGGCAATAAGAATGCTTATCAGTAAATTAGATGTTTCCATATCTTACAAAATAAGAAATTTAATTAGATTGCAATATGGAAGGTTATAGTAGGTGTGATGGGTTAAATGTGGAATGCAAATTTGGATATTTTTTATTTTTAAATTAATGTATTTAATGGTAATAATAATGTAATTTATATTAGTCCAGAGTTTAGTTAGTTTATATCAGGAATTCATATAAGTTGCTTCGATTGTTATACTTAACCTCTTACTTTTGGATAATCATTAACTTGTACTTAGGATGCATAAATATATTACTCTAATTCTAAATATTCATATTAGGTAGTTTAAAGAAATAATAAAAATCTAAGTTATTATGAAATGATAATCTAAGATGATGCAACATATGTAACAAAATTATGTATTGGATGCATAGGATATTAATAATGTAAAGAAGGGTATTATTTCAATGTTGATTAATGTAAACCTTGCATTAAGGATTGTTTTTTTTGTGAAAATTCATATTCATGTGGAATATGTTATGATGATTGCTATCTTGGTAAAGAGAATTAATGTTTGAAATGCCCTAATTGCAAAAGATGCTTTACATATAAAGATTTTTTGTGGTGCAGTCATTGCGAAGATAATTAAATACTATAAAACAATGAATGTGTATCCTGTGGTATTAATTGCGATAGTTGTGACTCTAAAGGATATTGCAATTTTTGTATCGGAGATCCTTCGAAATATTATTTATCAATCGATGGAAGAAATTGTGTAGAATGTAATATTGAAAATTGTAGATATTGCTTCTAATATGTTATTATTTCAGGATAATATTATACAACATTAGATAGTAATTTCAATATATACAATTTTAATTCAAATTAAGTTAATTTTGGATGTGCACTATGTAATTAAAATTATAATTATAACCAAAGTACTTAAAAATGTGAATTAAAATTACATAATAATAATTGTGAATTTGCAGTTATTTCAGATTCGACTTCAAAATAATAATGTATAATTAGCATGAAAAATAATGATGCTGTATAAGTAACTTCTTGTTCATCTCTTAATAATTGCCAATAATGTATTCATCATTATATTGCAAATGAATCATATTGTATATAATGTGATGATGGATATTACTCTGGATTATTAACTGGGCAATGTTAATTATGCATCAATAATTGCAAAACTTGTATATAATAAAATAGCAGTTATAAGGATTATTGGAAATGGAACATAAAAGCATTTTATAAAGCAGTCATTAATTTTAATAATGATAAATCATTTGAAGATCACAGACAATCTAATTCATAATCTGATTTAGAGGTTATTTGTACATCATGCTAATTATCATATATCCTCTTTGAATAAAAATGTATTAAAGGTTGTGAAGAAAATTGTAATAACTGTGAAATAATAAATGGACAAGCTACATGCATTCAATGCTAGGAAACAGATTTTGGATTTCTCAAAAGTAAAAATACAAATGGAACGTGTCTTTAATGTCCTTCTAATTGTATTGCTTGTGTAGAAAGAAGTTAGTAGGAAATAACAGATATTAATCCATATTATATATTAACTAATGAAAATTTAAGATACACCAGAAAATGTTATGAAAAATCTAAAAAATAGGATAACTATTATTTTGATTTTTTAACCTAAACAATAACTGTTTGCACATCAAATACATAATGTTATCATAAATATATAATAGAGCAGAATATCTTTTGTGATATATCATAATATTTATAGTTCCGCAGTGATTCCCATGATGATTTATTTCACTAAAAAAACATTCTAATAAGTTAATTGTATGATTATAATTATCTCAATTTGTTTGAAACTAAGATGCTTTATGATTATTTAAATGAAGCCTAAGTAAGACATGCAGAATTTTAATTTACTCTCATATAAGGCAATGAACCTGAATGCTATATAGAAGAAAACTTAAATATATATTCACTTTTACAATAAAATATATTTACACTTCAGTAGATTGATATAATTATATAAGGCTAAACTAACCCAACGATTGTAACATTCTACAATGAATTAACCCTTAGTAATTTTACTAAAATAACTTTTAAGAACATTAAATTTAATTTCATTTACGGATCAAACAATGGATTTTTTATTACACTTTTTAATTTAAAATTGTAATTGATATTAAATTTGGAGAACATTATATTTACAATGCCATATAATTAATATAGGAATATCTCTTTAATGATAAGAACTAATATCCCGTATTCGCTTTTAATTGAGAATTTCACTATTATTAACTTTTTTGTTTCATCATCTGACATATTTACTTTTATGTCTATTGAGAATTCTAAAAAGAATAATATCTAAATAAATAATTTGAAAATTCTGGATTCCAATTTCTTTAACTCCACATTATTTAGATATCAAGCTAAAATTAATATTTTGCTATTTGATACATTTTTTACCTAAACCACAATATAAGATACAATATTTACTTAATCAAATTTCATTCATAGTTATGGA